TCTGTTAACCTGTCATGTCCTATTCTTTTTATCTAAAGAACACTTTGTAGCATTGTTTTTAGTTATAATACAACACTAGTCGTGTTGCTGAAATTGTTGCTGAAGGAGAAACAAAACCTCACTACACTCATTGACATTTAATGCTGGACAGAAAGAACATGTCTCCATAGAAAACATTTTTTGATTTCTTGACAGTTTACAGTCATGCTATAGCAAAACTTCACACTAACCCAACCACCCCGTGACCTAAAAATGACCTTACAGTAAAGACCTCTGACAGAGCTGACAGAACAAAAGGTGAGCATAAAGTCTGTGGGGATCATACATGGATTATTTAACCGGCCTATTTAACCAGGCTGTTTGAAGTGTGATTACATTTATTTTGTTGGAAAATGACTTAAAGACACAAAACAGCCACAACTGGATGTAGAGAGCTCACAAAGACACAAAATGACCACAAAGCCCCCAAAACAAGTACAAAGAGGCACAAAAATACTGCCAAGACATGCAAAAATGACTATAAATAAATGCTTAATAGCCACAAAGAAATGCATAACAACCACACAGTGTCATACAGACAATGCAAACAGACACAAAATGACTACAAAAAGCATAATGGCCACAAATAGATGCACAGCACCTACAGAGTGTTACAGAAGTACATACAAAACAGACACAAAATGACTGCAAATAGTGGAAAAAGGCCACAGCTGTGTTGTTTTCGTAGTCATTCTAGGTCTCTTTCAGTCTGGCACTGTGCTCAGGAGCCCGCTCCCTAATAAACTGTCTAGTTTGGGATGTTGCAGAAACTGCACCAACCACACAGCAGATATGGTCAAACTATATGGCAGGACTTAAACAGTTTACAGTCAACAGCCCCATCTATTGGACATTGTTGTGAACAACGACGTGCAGTAAATCAGTCTTCACAATATCATACCAACTACTGATTGATATGTGATCGGCTACTATAAACACACATGTATTGTGTTTTTTTTTTAACATAATTTGTCATCCATTTTCTCATCCTTATTTTCGCTGAGACGTATGAGCTCCAGAATGTTCATAATTAAATAAATAAGACTATATAAAAATTATATGAATTAATATACACCATTTTATCATGACCATGAAATTGTAAAATAATGAAACATCTTTACAATTTAGTTAAATATTTGGAACTTGTTTTTATTATGTTTTATAAATGTTATTTCATTATGCTTCTCTTCATAACAACAGAGTTTATGGCAAAACCGTTTTAATTTCCAACTGTTTTTATTATACTGGCATTCTCGTCATTACTAAAGTTAGCGTATTTAGAACTGACAGTTTCTTGCCTTCATTGTCAAGGTAACACCTGAGCTCGGCAAAGCAGCCACAGTGAACCTTTTACGTAAGTAACGTTAGCTATAGAATGAGCTACCTGTCAAGAGAAGATGATTCATTCTCATTCTGTCAGGGGAAACGTTCACTAACAGGCAGACTCACCTCTCTCCTCCTCAGGGGTTTGTGCAGGTGTGTTGAAGGTACAGGTGAGGCTCTGAGGATCTTGTGGTGTCATAGACCTGTTTAGGACAGTTCAGTTCTTCAAGAGCAATAGCAGGTGTCAACCCAGCAGTCGGTCCTACCTACAGGAAGCCAGGGCCAGATGGAGGACCACCAGGAGCGCACCTGGGGGCCCAGAGCTGAACAGTGATGAAGAGTGGGACACCAATCTGGAAACAGACGGTAAGTTAAAATGAGCACAGTGTTCATTAATGATAGATGCATTATTTGACACTCACCTCTTGTCTCAAAGGTATATGAAACACAAGAACATCCTAATTAGTAATTATATTTATAGTTACGGTTGGGGATGAGGTAAGAGTATGCTGATTACTTTTCCGTGTCCAGTTTTATATTCTTTAAATTGTCCAACCAGATTACACTAATGCTGCCTGTCTCCAGAATCTCCATAATGCTATCAAACAGTAATTACGTCAAATCCCTCAAACTTTCAGGTGCTCAGCTATATCCTCTCAAGATTTTTTTTTTTTACATGTACCTATGAGATTAAGGGTGCAACTTACCTTTTTAAAGATTAGTAATTAACCTAATTTCTCCTTATTCTGGCAGGAAATTATTTTGATGATTCTAGTGCTAAATGCTTTGCTGATGCCTTATGGGTGAGTTGAATCCATGTGTCAACTGAGTGTTTGAACACGTAGACATTTGTGTTCACATAATGAATCACACAGCAGTCATGTCTTAATGCGCACTATGCAGCAATTTGACAGGATGACTATGTGGTCAGGAGGAGAACACATGGGCCACATGTTAGGTAGATGGACTACAGTTCATTTCTGGCTTTACCAGGAAAATTTAATTGAATGCAGCAGCATACACACAGAGATCTTTATTGTTACAGTTCAGAAAGTAAGAAGAGCAGGTTCACCTGGGCTGAACGATGAATGTGATGTGCAGTTGTTCCTTTGTTACAGTCAGATTGTGAGTTGTCATCGAGACATACAGCACCGCTAAGATGAGGATGTAGGAGAGCAGATAAGACACCTTTAAATAAAAGTTACAACTTGCTGTTTTTTGTTCTTTATAGTCTGGCAGTATTATTTAGCACAACCCGGAAGTCCTCCATTTTGTAATTCAGATCTCTCTGGCCCAGTTTCACATTTTTGCAAAGTATAATAATGCTTATTAAGGAGGAGGAAGTTGCATTACAAAGCTAATAGTATGCGGTTCCAGTGACAGGTGCACCTGAATAGTAGCTTCCTGTGACATCAGTGACCCCCACCCTTACCTTCTCCTGCCTGTTGTAGTTCTTATCTCAACCCAAATATGTCTGGTGTGAATACTTGAACCTCTGACACCAACCAGCTGCACCCACCTCAGCGCTACCAGCTGTGTCTACAGCTGAATCGCAGGGCCCTCTACCTTCATTCTGTCCATCCAAAAATAATCTTCTGGTATGACAACAGAACAAGAGGAAGAAGAAAAAGACAGCTGGCGTCCATATCAAAGGACTGAGAGGAGAGAACGAATAGGGCCAGATGCAAGCTAGTTGTTTTGCCACATTGGTTAGTGTTGAATGAAATGGGCTGTAAAGGAAATGTGAATATGCATGCGCAGCATTACTTATGCAGGCCCCGCAGAGTACGATTATTAAGGGTGTGCTGATGAATTGTCTCAAGGTGCGATATCTAACAGGCAGCCTGTGTCTGTCAGGTGGCTCCAGTTGTAACCACACAGTAGACAATGATCGTTTCACCTGCATATATTCTTTGTATCCTGTGTCCATAAATAATGAGCTCTAATTAAAGAAGAATAATCAGAGCACATGGGTTTCGACTGCCCCGTTTGTGTTTACTGTGGAACATCTTTGATTTGCTTCAAAGAAGTGGATCAAGACATAGTAATAACACCTGTCTGGCTGTATAAGTTCTTGTTTGGTGATTAACAATTAATCATTTGAGGCAAGTGTCAGGAAACAAAACTACCACCTGAACTGCTTGCTGTTTTCTTCACCTTCATCACAACCTCTTCCTGGATCCAGGCAGCAGGTCATCTTCTTTAGCATGATGGCTGGCTCCCATGGCAGCACCTGTATCTTCACCTATAACTTCATTACCGTTAGCGTTGCTGCCCAGTGCTGCCAACAGGCTACCATGTGCAGGGGGCTGTAGTCGCTGTGACTGCTATCAAAATTTTTATGTCCACACTGACTTCATCACTGTGGTCAAGACCATTCAGCTCCTCCTCTTCATTTACAATTAGTCTCTAAAGGATGGTTTTCCAGTCTGTTATGTGGCTGCCAGAGAGCTCCGAAGGCATCTTGTACTCCGTCTCCTCTTCTATCGCCATCAGATGAAACAGTACAAGCACTACAACACGAATTCAGACAAGTATGTCACCATTATCATTGTTAAAAGCAAACGAGGAATCTCTGCTTTCATAGTTTTTTTTTGGCAGCTTTTATAATTTCTCGGTTTGTTAAAAGTTGTTAAACTGAACATCAGAGATACCAAGGTTCTTATCCTGATGTGCAAAAAAACTGCCTGTATCTTCATAAAAAACGAGATGCAAAACCTAGATTGCTTAAATCCACTCCATATATGGGCACATCCCTTCAAAAAATAGTTTTAAACACCATATCATATCCAGAAGACAACACTAATTACGAGTAGAATTATTTACCATGTGGCTCCATGAGAGGATGCACAAGAGTGTAAATTCAACTGTTCCAGTGTTTTACTACTTCAACACCAACAAAGTTATTTCACTGCTCTAGTGTAGAATATTCAAAAATGATACTGTATCTATTGACTTCCCTTATTTGATTGTTACGGAGGTGGAAACAATTGTAAACAACCAGCGTCTGTAGAAATACACACAAAAGCTCCTATCTGTTTGTTGCATTGGGTATACAGTATATTGTAGATCCAGTGTCTTTCTTTTACAGGACGTGCTGATTTGTTTCCAGTTAACCTGCGGACAGCTGGTGACTTTAAAACACTGCAATAAAAAATAAATACATGGACCCTTTTTAAAAGAAGTTACAGAACACATCAAAATGTGAAAATCAGAGGAACTGCACAGACAAACATGCAGTACACTATAACCATCAATATATAAAATGAGTCACTGGCATCTTCATTCATTTAAAAGTAGTGAAGCTATGTTTTGCTTTTCTATCCAGACAATATTAAAACAAACAGTACTAAATGTAGTTATACTGTACTTCTGCTTTCATACATTTATTGCTAGAATCCTAAGTAAAATAAATGAATCTGTCCCCAGTTGTATTTATAGGGCATGTGCATGAATAAAAAGGCCAAACTGTAATTTGAACATACAAGAACTACACATTTTACAAAATGTGTGACGTACCACAAAAAGAGGAGTACTTTGCATACTTTTCATAAACTTTATAGGGTGTACATGGCTATGTAAAAGTTTGGGAATAAAAATGTAAATGCACAAGTTTGGCTACTAATATTTGTATTTCCTCAAAGCCAAAGCACACTTTTTAGAAATTGGACTAAAGGAGAAATCTTCATTAAACAATATACGCAATTAGCTTATTTGAAAGCGAGAGACAGAGAGAAAAAAGTGAATAATTTAGGTAAATGATCCCTCTGATGTGGCTTAATGAAAACAAACAGCTAGCTGCCAATTTCTAATGGGCCATCTTTCATGTGAATGGACACAAAGACTTAAAACCCACATCTTATTGAGCAGTCCAATTGGAAATTCACAGATTTGGCCAGATTTTGAAGACGAAGCAAAAACCTGCCAACAAACCCTTCAGATATCTATGCACCCACTGGCACACGCAGCCAATTAACATGATCTCGAAAGTGCTAATGGAATCTTGAGCGTAATGAAAGTAAATAATTAAATGAAAGGATCCCTTGTATCATTGTTTGCTGTATTCAGGCCCATTAGGGCCTCCAGTATTCTCATGGTAATCTAATGTTGGAGTTTTTGTGTTCACATAATGAATTGTGTTTTTCCTCCAAACAGTGTTGTTTAGACATTTGTGTAGGTGCTGGCAGAGAAACAAAGACGCACATTAGGACCCATTTCCCCCCGTGATTATTAAAGTAAACAGAAATACTGAAGGGGTATCATACACAGCTGCACACACTTCAGCCTGTTTGTTAAGCGGGAGAAAGGGCCAAGCAACCCTTAAGACTCAGTCAGAGATGATCCTTTTATTTGGAGCTGCTCAAGAGCTGAGTGACAGGCTGGCAAATGATGCTTTGAAGATCTGTCTTTGGCACAGAGTTCATCTGCAGCCGAGCATCGGGGAGCAAAACAGACTTGGCACGAGATAAAATGGTACAGCAAAGACTGACCGCGAAGACGTTCCTGCCTCGGCTATGTGCTTGTATTTTGCCATGCATTTTCTCCACAGATAAAAGCTAAGGTGAAATGAGCAGTCAACAGTTTCTGTGGTCCAGTGCAACTTGGCATTACTTCATAGGGCTGCAGCTAACTTATGTTCATTATTAGTTAATGTGTAACCAGAAAACCGATTGACTGGTCTAACAACTTCATAAAACAGATAACAGAATTCCCAACTAATAAATTCCATTTCAATGATAAAAGGTAATAGCAGGGCAAGTTCCCATGTTACTGTTTGGAAACTGAAAACTGCTGCTCCTTAACAGTCAACGACAAAACTAATCAACTAATTGCTTGAAAATCACTGTTGGATTAGTGGCAAATCATCAAGTTTGTAAAGTAAATGTGCTCAACAAGTTTCAGTACTTAAAGCTCTAGAGATGTTTAATATTTAAAGCTGTTTCTTTAAATACAGTAAATACAAGTATACATATCAGGTAACAATGACAAAATCCAGTACTGGAGTTCAAAAACAAACCCGCTGTTCAATTGTGCGTTTTATATTGCCCATAAATTAACAACATATTGTATATGCAATGGCTTCAGAATGTATTGGGATTGCTTCACCTTTTGCACAGTGACTGATAAAACTGCCATGTTTTCCCATGAATCCACACTCAGTAACACATCATGGCAAAATAAAAACATGCACCGAATTGTGGTCAGGTGCATCCTGCTTGTGTTACTTTTCCTTGAGATGTGTAGAACTTGACTGGAGTCCACCTGTGGAAAACTGACTGAACAGTGTTTATAAAGGCACACACATGTACATAAGGTCCCAAAATTCACAGTGTACATCACGACAAAAACCGAGCCATTAAGTCCTAGGAGCTCTCTGCAGATCATGACACTGATGAGGGCAGGGCTACAAAACCACATCTAGAACTTTGTGCGTTTCCAGTACACAGTGGCCTCAATAACTGTGAAATGGAAGAAGTTTCAAACCACCAGGACTCATCCTTTAGTCGACCGTTCAGCCAAACTAAGTAATCCTGCAAAGTGGACCTTGGGTCAGGGACCAAGACTCCAGCGGTCACTGTAAAACAGCTTCAAAAGTAAATGAGTAAGTTTATATAAAGTTGTGTAAATGAGAGATTTCAGTATTTGGTTTTTAATCAAACTCTAAAAACATGTTTTCACTTTGTCCTGTTTGGGCTGTTGGTTGTAGACTAATGGGCATAAATGATACCGTTATCCATTTAAAATGAAATCTGCAAAACAATCAAATGTGCAGAAAAGTGAGAGGGTCTGAATACTTTGTGGAGCCACTGTACATACATGCATATGATGTACAGTATCTGGTTTGTGTTTTGTACAGTTTCTGCTAATGAACAGTGAATTTACATTTAACTAAAAGCTCATAACAATTTGATCGCTGGTTACTTAATGGCCAGACAGGTTTAAAACAAATCACTACAGGCCATGGATGATGGTGTGAAGCAGGAATATAACTGAACAGTCACCTCCAGCACATGCTCATCAGACAGACGACATGGATTTGAAGGCATGGCGCTGTTACATACCCTGATTTTATGGCCGCTGATTGTGCTATCCAACCTGCAGCTGATTACAAAGACTAGCAGCAAGCCAAGGAAACCTTTCAGCCCTGTTAACATTAAAACATCTTGAACAACTTTGAAAGAGCTCTGCTTGGTCCTGTTGTGGGAAAAGTGGCTAAGGAGCACCAACTAACAAGACGCCTGGAAAAGCCATTTGTGATTACAACTGTGACAAGTTTAGCTACTACTGCATATGTCATATGGCTGTAACAACACACTTGTGTGTGATACACCATTTGTAGCCCTGAGACGTGTTGTAAATATGTCTTTGGTACATTCAAATGCAGCAAGCAAATGCTGATAAAAGACAGAAAGTTCTTTTAGCTCTGTTGATTTAGCCAGGGCCCAACTGCAGATAACTGCATCACTCCTTACTAGGGGTGTAAATCGCCACTCATCACGATACGATCCTATATCGATTTGCTTTGCCAGCGCTCTGATGTTTGTACATACTTAAAAATATGCTACGAACAAATTTTGATTTAATTCAATGGTTGCTGATTGATACAGTATCAAGCTAATATCTGCCTATTTGACACAATTATATTTTTAACAAAAATATAACAGAAGTATAATATTTAGCGTTTATTGAGCTCCTCTGTTCACTTTCAAGTGCCATTTAAGTGCTGGCTGTCAAAATAAAAGCACACAAAACATCGTTTACATTTTGCATCAATGTCATGATATCACGGGGTGTTTGATCGATATATTGATCCCAAATGATGGATCGTTACCCCCCCTACTCCCTACAGATAACACAGCATATTTAAGCTCCATATGAGTGTTGGAACACAACCTCAGTGTCCCCCCTGCAGTGTGACTCAACAGTTACAAAAAGCTGAGTAGGCAAATCTGTGCATTTCTTGTGATGTGGAGTTCATTTTATGCAGCTGAGCTATAAAATAAAGTTTAATGTGGTGGTTAGAAACGTCACATGTCCAGAAGCAGCACTCGTGGATCTTCCACTACTGCTTTTATCTTGCGTAAGAAAGTCACCGCTTCTCTGCCGTCAATGAGGCGGTGGTCATACGTCAGTGCCACATACATCATGGGCCGGATCTCAACCTGATAAAGCAGAAAACAGTTTTAAAGTTTACTCACGTTTAAAGGCATCGGCTTGTGAGAAATAGTAGAACTCTGTTAGAGGTGTCCTGAGCACTTCTTAAGGATAAGTACAGGCTAAGATAAAGCCAATCCAATGTCAGTCCTTTACTTTTACTTTACTGCCTGGTTCCTAACATGTCTCTCCTCTCCTCTGGAGTGCCACCCCTGCTTCACATGTAGGGCAGGGGTGGGAGATGTACAGAATTATGATGCCTTTGCTACTCTGCCCACCTTCAATTTGCTAAAGTGCCCCTGGTAATTTTTAATCTCACCTTGTCATTGATGGCCACAGGTCGGTCAAAGATGCCGTGCATGCCCAGGATGGCAGACTGCGGAGGGTTGATGATGGGTGTGCCAAACAATGAGCCAAACACTCCACCGTTGCTGATGGTGAAGGTGCCTCCATCCATATCTTCAACAGCAAGCTCATTTTTACGAGCCTGAAACACAAACCACAAAGAACTGCATCATTTTCTTGATTAAAAATAAGGATTTAATTTTAGATTGCACAGCAGTCTAACATGACAAATATCTGGGACAGACTGGTGCTCTTAATAACAGATAATCTTAAGGTGTCAGTGTTTTCACCTACAGCACAAAGTATTTTACCTTTTCTCCCAAAGCACTGATGGCCTTTTCAATGTCAGTGAAATTCATGGTCTCAACATTATGAATTACTGGTACAACAAGTCCCTAAAGAAATAATACTCAAATGCAGTCAGTGTTAACTAGCAACAATTTTTATACAAAAGTTTTGTAGTGCCAAAAGTTGTCGTACCTTTGGAGTTGCAACAGCAACACTAATGTCTATGTAATCTCTGTAGACAATCTCTTTGGTTGCATCATCAATAACTGTAGTAAAAAAAAAAAAAATCACAGTGACAGAGACTATCGCTCATTCTGAGCTGGAGCAAAAGACAAAAAAGTGAAGCCAGTGTTCTTGCCAGAATTGACAGCAGGTTGGTCGGTCAGAGCGTGTGCTACAGCCTTCACAAACGCTGACATAAAACCCAGCTTGATGTTGTGCTTCTTTAAGAAAGCATCTTTATGGCTTTTTCTCATTTCCTGAATGTTGCTGAAAGAAAATTGGGGATACAGTAGAGAATATTTAGTGAGGAAGCACAATCAAAGTGACATGTGACAAAGTGTGTGTACACTGCTGTACACACAGTTGGAGTAATCCATTCAGAAGCTGCTGTGGTTCACCTCATGTCCACCTCGTTGAAGGTGGTCAGCATGGCACAGGTGTTCTGAGCCTCCTTCAGTCTCTGGGCAATCCTCAACCTCATACGGTTCATCTTCACCTAGACAGCAGGAAAACAAATGAGAAAAAATAAATCTGTGAACCACCTCTTTACACTTTTGCACTTTTTACATGAAGACAGAGGGGGAAAGACAGGATGAGTTAAAAGACCTACTCAGATACTCATACATACATTACAGTAAATAATGCTATCTGTAAATTTAAATGCTAGGGAAGAAAACATGCCAGGTTTGGCTTTGGCAGCCTGTGGAGGCACTGGAAGAATGACAGCGTGGGCTGCAGGTGGATCTGCTGGAGGAGGAGGGGGGGCTGCAGCCGCCACTGTTGGTGCTTCTGCAGGTGAGGAGGATGCAGCTTTAGCAGCAGCTGAGGGAACATAAGTAAAGAGGGACAAATTTGGTGTGACACACATTGTTCCTCAGTCTGTTCACAGGACTGTCATAACATTACAAAGAGCAAATGTTCTACTAGTGAAATGTTTAGGTATCAGTTGAACCATGTCTGTTGACTAAAGCATCAGAAATGTGATCTGATATGTACTCTTAAAAATCCTATCAGTGTTAGTTTTATAGTGCATTGTATCAACACAGCATTCTACACTGTTTTGATAATGGTATTGAAGCTCAGGTTGATGCATGCATACAGAGAAAACCCTAAAACAGTACCCAGTTCTAATTCATGTAACACACCTCCTTTACGTAATTTGAAAAGGGGCGTTCCTCCTTCTACCTTCCCTCCATCAGGCACCAGCAGTTCCTCAATTACACCAGCTGCTGGAGCAGGGACTTGTACAGAGGTCTGGAAGTACAAAACACACAGGTTTTGTGCAATTTTTCTTACTCTGATTAAGAAAAAAAAAAAAAATCATACAGATGATTATAGGTTCTTGTTTATACCTTGTCAGTCTCAATTTCACACACCACTTCATCTTCCGTCACTGAGTCCCCCACAGCTAAAACATAACAATGAAGGAGCATGTTGTTCATATGTAGAAATGGCATTAATGTTCAAAATTTGGCTCAGTAATGATACAATGTGGGAGAGTGACACCTGTTAAACAGTGTACCAATCATATGTTAACAAATACTAACCTTTCTCCCACCTCACATCTCCCTCTGTAACAGATTCTGCAAATGCAGGAGTCTTGACTATGACTACTTCATCCCCTGTACGAAAAAAGTTACTGCCAGTTAACAACTGAGCACAGGTGAGTTCAGTACATTATGCTGAGAACTGTTGCAATACATACTGTGAACAGCAGATGTCTTGAAGTATCTCGTGAGGAAGACATTTGCTGTTGACTGAAATACACATCTAAATGACAAGAAACAAAACAAAAAAAATTATTTGCAGTTTTAGGCAAATGTACAAATGACTTCATTCTTCAATGATGATTAAAGTACAGACGAGACCAGTGAATGGAAGCGAGCACTTACTTCCGAGAACTCCGGCAATCTTGCTGACTGCAGACAGAGAGGCCTTGAAGGTGAGGAGAGCAAAGAGAAAGATCAACACAAGCTGTGATGACTGGTTTTCTTGTAGCTCTAACAAGAAGTATGGGTGCAGTTACCTGAAGGCTGCAGTTATCCACTTGAGAACAGTGGCCCTGAAGAGTTTGATGCACTGCAACTTAAGAAAACACCTGAAAATTAAAAACAAGATGGTCTGATTGCATGGCTCAGATAGTATTATAGATATCTTTATTTTTTCTGATTCTGTTCTCTGTATTGGCAGCTAGTTTCTGTATTTAGTGACTTTTGTCCCCTATAATATTGTGACTCTGTTGTCAAAGTGGCAACGATGTTTCTATATTTTTAATGTTTTCTTAAGTTGCAGGACATTTTCTGAACTCTTAGGGCCACTGTACCTGTAGGTTCAGTCATTTAACAATCAAAAGTGATTCTGCTTTGGATGGCACCATCCCCGAGCTCGTTACACAAGCAATAAAATAAAGGTAGCAGTCTTAAATATTTCATTACTGCTGAGGTTTTCAAATCCAGTTGAAGGAATGGTCTATGTAGTTAGAAGCATACAGTACTTACCTGGTGCATTTTGTTGGACCAGTACATTTGCCTAAAAAAGAACAAAAGTGTAAAAAAAATAAAATTAATACGTCTTTGTGTGTATGTGTACAGTTATACCGTCAGCTTTAACCCAAGCTACCTGCCAAAGGGTTGTTAGAGATGCAGTGAATTAAGAGTTTCAATGCTACCATTAGCCTGTGAGGTCTGCTTCATATAATGCCAAGCAGAAAAGCCAATAAAATAGCTAATAGGGGACTGAGGTTCTAGCTAGTTTCTTAGCTTGTCAGTGTCATGACTTGGTGGGTGACACTAACATTACGCGATGGTTTGACCTAAAATAAAAGTATGATAAGTCAGACAGTTAAACCGGACAGTACTCTCAGCTTCTAGACAAACTTAAGCTGCATGAAGCTGCCGGTGTCTGTCCCTGGTAGAGGCCCTACTCCACAAGCTACCGTCTGCTATACGATAGCTAACAGCTAACGCTAGCTGTGTCTGGAGCGGTTTTACAGTTAACGCTAATACACAGACAAAGTTCGCCCATTTCTTCAACCTACCCGGCTCACCGCTGACAGCGAGCGGCCAAGCACATCGGGATTGTGATAACATCACTCCAACTTGCGGATGCATGCCCGGAGGAGGTAGCGGTATGCGGCTGCTTGGTCCCCCGGGGGAGGGGGCGGGGGCGTTCCGAGTGGGAGGAACCACTGCGGCTGGCCGGAGAGGGGCGGGAGCCGGTGTGGGACTGGAAATGAATCACACTGTACACTATAAACTACAGCCTGAAACATTATGAAAAGGGTGAAAAGGTTTTTTTGTTTTACATTTAAAAAACAAGAGTGTAATATCGCCTACATCAGGTTATAAACAATGTTATATAACTTTTTAAATTAGGCAGGACCCCTCTATTTCGTAAAATGATAAGAAAATAGTTTACACAGCAATCTTTAAAAAAACCAAGCATGAACTCTTCAAATAATAGTGTTATTGCGTTGCGCGTAGGGACGGGATAAGTTGGCATATTTGACCACACCTCCTGGTTTCTGGAGGGGCTCTCAGCTGGACCGGTACAAATAACTGAATCGTGTTCAAGACTAGAGACTGTGCAGACCTGCAGCCTCCACTGGTCCTTTCTGAAAGGCAACAGGTAGGTTATCATCGGTTTCTACTGTAGCTGCGGTTTCTCCATATCTCAGCTGCATGCTATATTTTCACTCCAGGAATATTTTAACTTTTAACTTTGGACTGAATGTTTTAAAATATAAACTAAACTAAAAAAATGCAACTGAGAAACCATCTAGAGCATTGATACAGAAGAGTGACAAATATTTTTTAAACTATTTTGTTCCTGCTAGTTGTGCAGAACTGCAAACTACTGTATAGTAAATGGCCAATTCACATAAAAAAAACATTTTTATCAGAAAAATATCTCTGCTTTGTAGTAAAATATATAGCCACAACATAAGTAGTATATTTTATTTTATTACTATTTGCAAAACAATTTTAATTAATGAACCAAAAACCAAAACCCTTTCATTGCATTTGCTACTGTGACAAATCCAAAATTGCAGCATTCCTTACAACACTTGCATTACATATGATAGTGTTTTTTTTTCTTCATTGCTGTCTTTTTTAACCCATCAAGCATGAATCCAAGTCTTTGGGGCAAAGGCATGTTTACCTCCAGCAACATTTGCCTTGAAGACTGCCCTGCAGAGCAACTCTCCCATTTTCAACCTGACCCTGCACCGCCTGATGTATCAAATGTTTCTGTGACTTTACACAGTGACAATGAGAACATGAAAATGCTACCAGAGAGTGCCTATTACAGCAGCAGTGAAGCTGGTTCAAGTTTGATCTTTTCCAGTAAACTGGAGCTCAATCCCAGATACAGTTCTTGCGATCACCATGTCTGGAACGTAAACAGCGGCCACCAAGCAAAACGTGCCAGAGTAGAAAATATCATCAAAGGCATGACCGGCTCTCCTGGTATGTACTGTTTAAAGGTGACGACAAATCAGCATGAGGAGACGGACTGTGTGCAGGAAAAGGAAAGGATTCAAGAACTGCCTTCACATCAAGAAAACACGGAAAGAAGTGGCTCTGGCGCAACAAGTCACAGCCAAACAAAAAAAAAGCAGCATGAGAATCAGCATCAGCGGCTCAGAACAAGGTTTAAAAATGTTGTAACTGAACCAACAGACAGTAGCAAAGAAGAAAACTATCCCATGTGTAGCGGCTCTCCTGACAACTCTCCAAGGGATTCATACAGCAGGTTTGAAAGCAGCTCCAATACAAAATATCAGGGATGGAAAAAGGTGAAACTGATGAACTACTTTCAAAGCAGACCTGATAGAATAAAGCTAATGGCTGATGTTTTGAAGTATGAACTGTCCAGAGCTGTCAGCAGGAGCGTTGACTCTATTTTCAAAAGCATGCCACTTCTGCAGACATCACCAAACGACAACAGTGGGACTGTAGAGACTGATGTGTCTCTTAAGTCATCAGTGTGTAAAGACAATAAATTAAGACTTGCATGTTATGAGAATGCAGAGGTACAAGTGCCAGATGTTCAAACTGAAGCTCTGTCTCTGGTTGTACAAAAGCCTCAGCTAGAAAGCTCTGACAACTTTGTACTCCAGTCCAGACTGAGAGCTCACCATCACCCAAAACCTCCACTTGACTCCACTGTGCATGAAGATCAGCCACCAGAGAAGAATCACAATGCCGTGCACCAGCATGCCCTCAGATGCTTGCAAGACGAACCCTCTGAAGCTGCTCAAGCAAAGCTTGAGACATTTGACACATATTGGAATTCAGTCAAGGTGAGATCGAAGGTCAACTCCAGGTCTATGAAAAGCCCACAGACTCATCCTGTGTCAGTGGATCCAACACTTTTAGAAAGCCTGTGTCTCCCTCATGTCAAGATCGAATCTGATAGTTTGGTGAGGAATAAGCTGTACATGCTGAATGTATCCTTTAATCTTGTAACACTGATGTAGTCCATTTTATGTTCTCTTCTCTTGACGTAGAATCAGAATAGCTTCTGAAGCAGCAGCATTTAGATGCAATCCTCCCTCTGCCTATGAGAGGTTGAAATAACAACTCACTGTGTCTAAAACCTTGTCGTTGCCCCACGTACAGTGTGTGCTTTAGAATGAATCTGTTCAACACCAGTTTTACATCTTTATTAAGAATCCAATAAGGGCTCCCTTTGATTGTCCACACTTTGAAGAATATTGCAGTCTTTCCAGCTTGGAGAAAATGTTTGCATTAACAAAAAAAAAGCCTAACTGTATTGTTATGTGTAGGATGTGTGTTTTATTTCACTTAACACTGGTGCATTTAGGAGGGTCTGACCACAAACCATCTGAAGAAAGCAAAACTTATGTTCTTCTACACTCGCTATCCGAGCTCACTGGTACTGAAGATGTGTTTCCATGATGTGCAGGTGAGAAAACACCACCAGTGTCATTTTAAGATTTAGAAAACATGATTTCATTTTACTGTGAAAATATATAGTATTCATCACAGTCTTGGGAAAGTTGCTGTATTTTGCATTTAAGCAAACACTTTTGTGCCATTTATAAGAGTTTTAATCCTATATCAAAACACAATCTGAAAATCATGACATGCAGGACATTTTCAAAGTAATTTCACATTTTCAAAATTTCTATAATAAAATAAAGAATCAGTTCCAGACAAGTTCAAGGTTTTTGTTTTTTTATTTTTTAACAGCATTCTAACCAAACAGATTAGGATTAAAAACAAGCATCACTGTTGTATTTATATAAACAGTAAAAATGACACATTTCCTTTTCTTTATATTTTGAAATATGCCCTGTAAAATGTTGAGCAGCTTTTCTCTCACATGAATACAAATGAATTACAGTACAAGTTACAAAACAGTCCTGAGTTTCTCATCAGCTCACTTACCCGCTCTGTGTTTTGTTCTCAGTTCACACGCTGCATCACCTCTCAGCTCATCAAGTGGTTCAGTAACTTCAGGGAGTTTTATTACATCCAGATGGAGAAGTTTGCCCGACACGCTCTCATGGAAGGAGTGGCTGATGTGAGGGTTCTGACTGTGGGGAGACAATCAGAACTTTTCAGGGCCCTCAATATGCACTACAACAAAGCCAATGACTTCCAGGTAACTGACACTACGTCTTACTCTGTACACAATACCGATGGTATCTTCCTAAAAATGACTTGTAATTCCTATCTGTGTAGTAGCTCTTTCAAAAGTCTGATGAAGAGTAGGGACACTGAAGAATCACTGTCTTTTTTTATGCTTTGAGCACTTTCAGTGAGGTCAGTTTTTATCATGTGCAGGCCAACACATCCATCACTTTTGTTGCATGTGCTCATGTTGCATTTATATTTTTCCTATAGTCTCTATAGCTTTACAAATATCTGATTTGTCCACTTCAACTACTGCATCTGTATCTCATTTGTAATAGGTCGAGGCATTAAATATTTTGTAGGTTATCTAGTACAATCATATGATACATTAACTGTTTAAATAATGTTTTATTAATAAGTACAGCAGAAAAAACAAAGACTTTACAAAGCAACCTGCACTTTATCCAGAGGTCCTATACTGTATGCATGTATTGTGTGTACTATTGGCTATATTAGATGTATTAACATATACAGGTAATTCCAAAGCGATGCATAAATCATGAAAATTCAATTGCTGTAGTTGGGCAATATTTGAAATGTATCCAATGTTATTGTTATAATTATTAATTAGAATTGCTATACTCAACTCCATAACCACTATGAACAAAATATACCACAGATACTCAAACTTACTGAGAAAAAAGTCAAAGCTGGCACATATGCCAAGGTGGCTCATGGAACCTATGTTTAATGATAAGTCAAAAATGTTTGTTCAAAGTAAGAAAAAGGCTTCTAGAGAGTTTATGAACCCCTCGTGGAGTATTTTACTTTTTCAAGTTTGGCGTGGCATCTCAGGTTTCATCTGCAATTGAACAGAAGTGAACTCACAATATCATTAATATGAGGAAAAAACATTTTCACAGAGGTTTTTTTTTTTAAATCTAGTAAAACTACAAGAAGTCAGACAGAACCCCAGGCAGAAAACTGTGAAATGTATATATAAACACAGTTAGATTAGTAATAACACTACGGAACACACAAGATACTGTATGTAGTGTTGGGTGTATGTTGCAGTTAAAGATTTATTGGAGTAACTGTGGTTAGTATTTTTATCATGCAGTCCCACATTCCACCCTGCTAGTGTGCACACTGACCACAGCTAGTCAGTGAACATATTAACTGGTTTGCATGTGTATTCTTCCACATGCCACATACAGTATTTAGCATATAGTAACATGCACTTCCACTTGTGCAATCTAACAAAGCCATTCTGTCATGGTCTACTTGATGCCTTGAATGTTCAGTTTTGTGGACACTGTCACAGAGGTCTTAATTCATTTAAGCACTGAGGTCAGTGGTAAGTGGTGGTGCTGTACTGCACTGAATTATAATCTGTCCCCTCATGTATATGCATGCAATTAGGGACAAATCCTAATGTAACGTAGTCCAATATGACACCACCTTTTACTAAGAGCTCTGTGTGTTACACGCAGCAGTGAATAGAGTCAGTGTAGAGTGAGACCTGTGTGGGTTTTTGCTAAAATCAAAACTTGTCCATTATGAGTCACTGAGCCTCCTGTACCTACGCAACCAAAAAGGACTCAACAGCTAGCTGTTTATCTGGGGAAGGCAGAATTCACATGTTTAAGGTTTGAAAGACCTAGAAATTTCCTGTTGAAGTATTTTGGGCAAGAGCAAAATATTTACTCTCTAAATATGGAAATCACTATATAATAAACTTCTACAAAGACAATATAAAATTAAAAAGCAATAGGTATATATAAATAAGGACACACAGGAGCATAAAAATAAATGTCCTGGGGCCACCATATCTCTGCCGTGTTTTTTTTGTTCTTATTTCCTGATGAGTGGCAGAGACACTGAACCTTGAACTCTACTTCAAGAGACAAGATCAAAGTCAGCACAGCGGGAGTAATTAAGGGCAGAGAGATAATATTTTAAAGAAAGGCCTCAGCAGACAGCAGAAAATTTAACCATTACATTCTAACATACTGCACCAGTGAAAAGATTTCCCAGTGAATTGAAAGCAAAGTGTCCAAACCTTTCACTGGTGCTGTAGTCTGTGTAAAAACATGCCATTTTTAGCACGAGCACATGGAATATCCAAAAATAGAAAAGGGCTCATCTTCTGAGGAGCATGAATAGGCACACAAAATTTCATCATGATGGTAATTTCATCATCAGATTATGACGTCTCTACAAGTAGACCTTTTGGCCAAATGAGAGAAGAAAGTCATGGGGTCACAAAAAACATTAGGACAAAGTGACTAAAGTCACTAAATTCCACCGCAGTCAGAGAAGTTGTAATTTTATTTTGACTTATTTTCTGAACGTTTATAGAAGATAACTGCTTTCATTGTACAGTGGGCAGACCAGTGATTCCAACTGAACAATAGTGATGGTTTATGTTGGCAAGTGGAGGATTATCCAACTAAAGCACACACACACACACCAGATCTCCTCATGTATGTGAAGGCCTTTGACAGTGGACTGAATTATGCGTGCACTGTAAAGCAGTTTTAACCAGGCAACATAATAGTACTTACCGGCAACTGTATTGTTTGAACTGAACAATATTACAGAGTCACAACAAACATTTGTGTATGTATTAGTGCTCAGGTACAAAGAAAACCAAAGGTTCAGAAAAGTAATACAGACAGACTAGGTACAGGCTGTTGTGTGCACTGTAGTCAATGTTGCGTTACTGATCATCCCAATTAATCAGGCTTTTTTCTAGGTTTTTGCTTGTTACCACAATTTGCCAGGCCCGACTCTGATCATGTCAAACACACAATGTTGGAGAATGAGTACGAGCTTAAATGTCTTTAATGATTTCATTATCTTCTCTTGTGGACTCACAGGTCCCCGACAGATTCCTTGAAGTTGCTGAGATTACATTGAGAGAATTTTACATTGCCCTTTCAATGGGCAAAGATCGTGATCCATCGTGGAAGAAAGCAATCTACAAGGTGATCTGTAAACTGGACAGTGACGTACCAACTGAATTCAAAACTCACTCTGAGTAAAAACCAGAGGACGTCATGTGCCACAATGGTTACTGTCACAATGCGGACTTTCTCATGCCTTGATGAGCAAACTCTTTTGTGAATCGTTTCATTGTAAATTGGACGGGGTGTCTCCAATCTCCATACCTGTGGCAGACTAATGGCCCAGTTTGTAATGTTGAATGTTTGCCTGTGTTCATCACCTCATATTATGAGGTAATTTGACCTCTGTATTTTGCTATATCAGCCATATTATACAGCAAAATACATATTTGTATAATTGTGAAAGTTTTATCAGCCACAAAGAGCAACAGAGAAAACAATGTTAGGGAAGCATTTTTCTTTAATGAGCACAAAATACGGTCCACATAAGAAAAAGCATTTATATTCAGCAGAGCTCATTACTGTCATTTTCTATGAACAGCATGTACAGGATATTTAAAATGGAAACCACAAGAAATTGAATCACTATATCATGTCCATGATCTCGCTCACTCCTTACACATTATTAAAATAGCAATATTTCTTTGTTTCTTCTGTACTTACCATATGGATCCATCCACCAGCTTTCAAGTATGATACCCTATGGTTGGCAAATCAGATGTGGTCTTCATCAGTAGTTCTGTGTTCACTCGTAACTGATGATTCTTGCTTTTGTCTTCAGTGACTCCACAAACAATGCTGATAATCCAGATGAAAATTTCTGATGGATCCAAACTCTAGATCCTTAGTTTCACAAATGCAATATTTGCAGATCTAAAATGTTAAAAATGAATATACCTGCTAGTAACATTAATAATCACACTCGGTAAATGTGCACTCAGTTTGTAACGAAAATTCAATTGCAGCAATACAATGTAATATGATCTACATTCATATTTTAATGTATGATTTTTCTTTTCAAGTAACCTGTTCTCAACACTTGAGAATATAGTCGCTTTGCAAAGTATTAAGACCCCTTCACTTTTTGCACATTTTTTAGGTATTTTTGCAAATTAATAAAAAAAAAAAAAAACTACAACTTAAATCTCAGATTTTCAAAAGTCTTCAGAACCTTTGCTATGGCACTTTGAATTGTGGTCTAGTTTATCCTGTTTTCCCCCCTGAACTGAATCGATTCAACATACTTTACAAACACAAACACTTGTGTATAAGGTTATACAATTCACAATGCATGTCAGGGCAAAAGCCAAGCCAGTATGAAATAGTGAGGCCCAAATCAGGGCAAGAATATAAAACCATTCCTAAAGCCAAGCAGACACTGTACAGATTTGGCCCAATTTTTAGACCTAACTACTTTAGAGTTGGGCTTTTAGGGTTCTGCCGCCCATTTTATGACCCGAACGATCAACGATCTGCCTCTCAAATGCTCATAAAAGTCGTACAGAGTCAGCTCAGCTTTAAGGACAGCGTTTCTTGGTGCATGGTAGCCCCAATAACTGCAAAATGGACAAAATATGGAGCCACCAGGATTCTTCCTAGAGTTGGTCATCCAGTCAAACCGAGTAACCAGGCAAGAAGAGTTTTACAGGGTTATTTTCCAGGACATTTCCAAGATGTTTTCAATGACGTAAGGCTGTGATGTCAAATGAGGATCAGGTCCTAGACAAGTTCCTCTGTTTGGAAGTCTCCTTTTAAATCATATGTATTACTCTATGATGATACTCTATTTGTAGAACTAGTCCTTAGGTGCTTTATAACAGATTGATTATTGATGACTGTGGTGCTCTCCCAAACATACTCATGTCCAGCCCCTCAATGTACAACTGTTAGTATCCTACAATAAATGTGTGAGCTTTATTTTCTACAGTTTTTCTTGTCTCTCTCTCTCTCTCTCTCTCTCTCTCTCCACGGTCTCTTTACATCACAGGTTAGTGTGAACAAATAAAAAAACTCATTACTCATTCATGTTTCAGCTCAACAAAAAAATAACAATTCTCAACTCAGTGGATGACAAGGACAAGTGTGATGTTCCTTGAGTGTACAGACTTAAAACATTTGTGGAGAGACCTGAAGATGGCAGTTCACAGATCCTTGCCATCCAATCTGATAAAGCTTGAAAGGATCTGCTAAGAAAACTGGGAAAAACTGCCCAAATCAGGTGTGCAGAGGCTTAGCCAAGAACACTTGAGGCCATTGCTGCCAAAGGGGCTTCTACAAGTCTCTGAATGCTTGTGTAAATGTGGAATTTCAGTTTTTGATTAATACATTTGCAAAAACAAAACAAACAAAAAAAAAGGAATTAATAAAGTGAGGCGTGAGGCATTTGGTCATCACTGTCATGAAAAGCTGCTCTGGGCTCTGACTTGACACTGACGAAACCAGGTGCTAACCTCTTAACCACCAAACTTCCCAAGTGTAGCTACTTCTGTCTCATTGACCATGAAGTATCTGGCATCTTTGGAAACAACCCCATGTACTCTGCAAAGGGTCCATGGACAATGGGGCTGTGTAGCATCTGGACCGTTCCTGTATTTACTGTAATGTTATAATATTTTTATTAGACTTGACTTTAGGTCCATAATCATACACTTACATTAGATCCAATTCTGCAACACTCAAAGTCCATTCAAGCTTCAAATTGAGCCATAGACAATCCAAGAAGCACAAAATAGTCAGATTTTTGGCATTGTCTTATTAACTGCAATTACTTCTCAGCATTGTTTTCTTTAGCTTAAAAAAATCTCATCCACTGAGAGCCTAGGAAACAATCTACAGAGGTGAAAACCCTGTAGAGGGATGTGATAAATTAGCATATGAAGTTACAAAATGAAACATGTTTTGGTCTAAGTTGATAATACACAATTAAATGTGCCAAATGTCATATGGAAGCTCAGTATACAAATTAAATGATGTTTAACTATTATTTGTCTCCCGGGGTGGGGTGGGGTGGGGGGTTGTTCAGGTCATACCATTATAAATTTTCAGAAACCATCATGTGAATTACCAAAGAGAAAGTAGATGTGAGTGGACATTTTACCTGTACACGAGAACTCAAAAATGTCAGGTCGCCATTAATTCTCTCTCATTCTCATAACTAACGATAACCATTTACAGTGATGCTAAAAGTAGTCACAGGGGTTAAATAAGCGAATAAAAACTCCAGTACGACACACAAAGTTAGTAAATTTGTGAAGTCTTTATTGTCTATTTTCCAGTATGGACCAAGAGAATGTGCTACAGGTATACAGTACAATGAACACTAGGAGTATAAAACATCAAAAACATGAGTGAATACAGGGTACATGACCAGAAATAACACAAATTACAACCTACAAATTAACTTGTGACTGGCCAGTGTGCCTGTTTAAAAACAAGAAAAAAACATCTAGACTGTATCCTTATCAATAAAGTAACTAAAAATGTGATATCTATTGGCGACATCACCTTGATGAGTAAAGATTCACCACAGGGAAGCTTCAGGGTTTTCACATTCTAAACGCCTGTGAAAAGAGAAGGAAGTCACTGATAATTTGACAAAAGACAGATTTGTGTTTTTCTCAGTAATTTAAGGTCTTGTAAATTCGGATATATTCAGACATATTCTGTTAACTATCGATTTATTCCAAATAAAGGTAACTAGGCAGCTACATTTGTGTCATTACAGAAATCATTAATCAGTAAACATACATGCTAACAAACACGTTTAAGTTACTTGTGGATTATTCATATTTTACTATTTACTCCACCTAAACTTGGAAATATGAGACAAGTGTTTTCTGTGGAAATGGCTTGCTGAACAGTGGTGAGATAAGACCGGGTTAATCCAATTTTTAGCTAAATGTTTTCTCATATACCTGAAGTTAAAAGAAACTATTGATCCTCTAGGTGTATTTTCAACAGAGGGCATGTAATAAGAAAAGGTCTCAAACATGTCCTCATGAAATCATTAAATTCTTCTCAACTTATGTGAAATGAGAATTTGGATACTGGTCAACAGAGATGGGCACCAGTATCATCTACAGCCATCCTAGCAACATTATAAAAACGAGTAAACATACATACCTTACAATGAAGGAAAAAAAGGGGGGGATAAGATGATCGCCTTAGAAATACTTTGTGCGGTTGAGAGCTCTTTGGGCCAGCTGGCCGCTCTCATCTGTTATTTTTTCCCAGTCTGTTTGACCGACGACAAAGCCGATAGCACGTTTTCGATCCGCATCCTTCTGCTCTTCATC